ACACACAAGGACCCAATAAAAATTGGGTACCTATTTCCCTTGTTTAAATTTGTAGGTGGAATCTCTTGAGACTATGTAGAAAAGACGGTTTCCCGATAGTGGGTGCTAAATACATATGACGGGCGACATCTCCCTATTTTTTGACTTTGTGGAAAAAAATAAAGGATTTCTCACCTATGGCGACAATAACAAGGGAGCAATACTCGGTAAAGGTAGTGTAGGTAATCCCTCTTCTACTACTATCTCAGATGTCCTATTAGTTGATGCTCTTAAACACAATCTTATTAGCATTAGTCAATTATGCGACAAAGGATACAATGTATCTTTTTCAAAAGATTTTTGCATAATTGAACACAATGATAAGAAAGATGATGTGTTCAAAGGCTTAAGGTTAAACAATATATACATGCTTGACTTGAATAATGCATCCCTAACCGGAGAAAAATGTCTTGTCACTTTAAATGAGGATTCATGGATTTGGCTTAGACGTCTAGCTCACTTGAATTTTGATTTGTTAAATAAAGTTGTCTCAAAAGATTTAGTAGTCGGTTTACCAAAACTAAAATTTTCCAAGGATCACTTATGTGATGCTTTCCAAATGGGGAAGCAAACAAAAGTCTCGTTTAAATCTAAAAACATTGTTTCTACAATGATACCTCTTGAACTTATCCATATGGACCTTTTTGGACCATCTAGAATTAAAAGTCTAGGTGGTATCTACTATGGATTCGTTATTGTAGATGACTACTCAAGATTTTGTTGGACAATTTTCTTAGCAAATAAAAGTGACACCTTTCCGGCATTTGAAAATTTTGCCAAGCTTTCTCAAAACAAATTGAACACTAGCATAGTTACTATTCGAAGCGATCACATTGGTGAATTTGAGAATGATCTGTTTGATAAATTTTGTGAAAAATACGACATTGATCATAATTTTTCTGCCCCACGTACTCCACGACAAAATGGAGTGGTGGAATGTAAAAACCGTGTTTTAGAAGAACTCGGAAGAACTATGATCAATGAACACTGTCTTCCTAAATACTTTTGGGCCGATGCCATTAGCACGGTATGTTATGTGTTGAATAGGGTCCTAATACGTCCTATTCTAAACAAAACTCCCTATGAACTTTTGAAAGGAAGAAAACCAAATATTTCTCATCTTCACATTTTCGGATGTAAATGCTTTGTGTTAAATAATGGTAAGGAGAATCTAGGTAAATTTGATTCAAAAGCTGACGAAGGTATCTTTCTAGGATACTCTCAATTAAGTAAAGCATATAGAGTATTTAATAAAAGATTACATATAGTTGAAGAGTTTGTGCATGTTTCCTTTGATGAATCTGATTCAAAATTAGTCGGAAAGGGTAGTGTTTATGATGGTGCAGGTGTATCTTCAGAAAGCATACTAAAAGATCCCAAAGAAAAGGACTCAAAATCTACTAAAATTGAAGTAGAGTTGGATCAATTATCCAAAGAAAGATGGGAAGATCATCCAAGCAATAAAAGTGATCTTCCTTTGGAATGGAAAACCTCTAAGGATCATCCCATCGACAGCATCCTATGAGATATATCAAAGGGAGTCACCACGCGCTCTAAGTTAAGTAACTGTTGTTATCATTTTGCTTTCGTTTCTCAAATTAAACTCAAAAACTCTAAAGATGCCTTACTCGATGAACATTGGTTTTTAGCCATGCAAGAGGAACTAAATCAGTTTAAAAGAAATGAGGTTTGGGACCTTGTCCCCCCTCCGCGAGATCATCGAGTTATTGGAACTAAATGGTTTTTTAGGAACAAACTAGACTAAAATGGAATTATAACTTACAACAAGGCCCAGCTTGTTGCCCAAGGGTATAACCAAGAGGAAGGAATCGATTATGAGGAAACTTATGCTCCGGTTTCCCGACTTGAGGCTATACGCCTTTTGCTCGCAAATGCATGCTCACAAAACTTCAAATTATTTCAAATGGATGTAAAAAATGCCTTCTTAAATGGATACATTAATGAAGAGGTTTATGTGTCTCAACCTCCCGGTTTTGAGAATTTTGAGAATCCTAACTATGTTTACAGACTTAAGTGTGTGCTATACGGTCTAAAACAATCCCCCAGGGCTTGGTACAAACGTCTTATCAAATTCTTACTAGGTCAAGGATTCTCAAGAGGAAAGGTTGACACAACCCTTTTTATTAAGCATGAAGAAAAACATTTTATTTTAGTTTAATTTTATGTTGATGAAATTATTTTTGGTTCTTCTAACATATATTTGGTCAAGAAAATCTCTAAGTTAATGCAGGGAGAATTTGAGATGAGCATGCTGGGGGAGTTAAACTACTTCCTTGGACTTCAAATCAAACAACTAAATGAAGGGATATTCGTGAGTCAAACGAAATATTGTCTTGACCTACTCAAGCGATTCGACATGACAAACTAAAAGGCTATCGATACTCCTATGCCTACGACCGTGAACTTAGACTGAGATGATAATGGTAAACCCGTCGATATAAAAAGGTATAGAGGTATGATTGGCTTCCTTTTCTATCTTACAGCCTCTCTTCCAGATACCATGTTTAGTGTTTGCATGTGTGCTCGATTTCAATCATGTCCTAAGAAGTCACATTTAAAAGTCGTAAAGTGCATACTTAGATACCTTAGTGGTACAACTAAGTATGGACTTTGGTTCTCCAAGGGTAGTGATTGTTCTTTGGTTGGCTATTCAGATTCCGGCTTTTCCAGATTGAAATTGGATAGAAAAAGCACTAGTGGTACTTGTCATTTCTTTTCAAACTCTTTGGTCAGTTGGCATAACAAAAAGCAAGTTTTCGTTGCCTTGTCAATCACCAAAGCGGAATACGTTGTAGTCGGTAATTGTTGTGCCCAAATCTTGTGGCTCAAACAACAATTGCTCGACTTCAATGTCCGACTTGATCATATTCATATTTTTTGTGACAATACAAGTGCCATAAATCTAACCAAAAATTTGATTTTTCACTCTCGCGCAAAACATATTGAGATAAGGCATCATTTCCTAAGGGATCATGTGGAAAAGGGTGATGTCATTTTCGAGCATGTTGATAGCAAAAATCAACTTGCTGACATTTTTACTAAACCACTCGCTATGGAACCCTTCTTTCACATCCGTAGAGAACTTGGTGTTCTCGATATCTCTGATAGGTTGTAACTTAATTAATGTACATGCTTCTTATTTTATTACAAATATTTCCTTTATGTTCAATGCACTTATTAATAGTTTAGTGAAAATTTTATCAATCTTCATAAAGGTAATATTCATCCTATTTATCTCCCTTTATTGATTATATATATATATATATATATATATATATATATATATATATATATATATATATATATATATATATATATATATATATATATATATATATATATATATATATATATATATATATATATATATATATATATATATATATATATATATATATATATATATGTGTGTGTGTGTGTGTGTGTGTGTGTGTGTGTGTGTGTGTGTGTGTGTGTGTGTGTGTGTGTGTGTGTGTGTGTGTGTGTATGTGTGTGTGTGTGTGTGTGTGTGTGTGTGTGTGTTTATTTAGGTCATCTTCGTACTCTACATTCATTACAATGTTTATATGCATGTGTGATTTATTGTTATTTTTCCCTATTTCATGACATTCCTTCAAAAACGTAGTAAATTTCAAAATTTCACAGGATGAGTCGACTCACAACTAAAGTGCGTCGACACACTATTATATAAACTCTTCAATATTATTTTTTTACATTACATCGACGCACAAACTGGTTTGGTCGATGCACCTCTCGAATTTTAAAATTTTTTCTGAGTGGTTTATATTGATTCACTTACCCCTAACTTTTCCAAAAAAAAAACCAAAAACCCTAAACTCCTCTATATCAAAAACGAAATTTCCTTGCTAATTATGGTGAGTCTTGCTAATTAAAACTTAAAACCCTGTTTACCCTTAACCTAAACCTAGAGCTTAATATCCTTGTGAGCAAGGTGGATGAAAGGTGGCTAACACCTTCCTTTCGTTCAATTGAGTCCGAAACCTAGAATCTCTGTCTGCGAACTAGGGCTTTCTGTTAGGCTCCCTTCCCTAGGATAAAAACTAATAGTGGTGACTCTTGACTAAAAAACTGGTCGCTACACATCACATTAAGTTTAATCTTAAAGGTTCTATTTTGAGATATGAGAGCCTTCAAGATTAATCTTCCATTTGCGTCGATGGATCTCATCATCTTGTCTTCGATTGACACTTTGTAGTTATTTTTGACCAACTGCCCTATGCTGAGAAAGTTTCTCTTTATGCCTGATATGTACAACACATTGGAAATTACTAACCTTTTGTCATCTTTCCTCATAACCATAACATCACCAATACCTTCAGCTGTTAGGGTATTGCCATTTGCGAATTTCACCATGTTCTTCATTGAGGGTTTTATGTTGACAAACCAATCTTTTCTTCCAGACATGTGTGATGAGCATCCTGAATCCAAGTACCATTGGCCCTTGAATATATCTTGATCTTTTGTTGTGACCATCAACATCATCTCTTCTTCTTCTTCTTCTTCATGTTTTGCAAACTTTTCATCACTTTCTTGATTATTTCGCTTTTATAGACAATCACTCGAATAGTAACCATATTTTTGACAATCGTAACACTAAATGTGAATCTTGTGAGGTTTTCAACCACCACCTCTTCCTCTATTCGCAACACCACCTCTTTGGTTTCCTTGGTACGGTCTTCTCTGATTCGATAATTTTCTTCGTGCTGAATTCCTCTACCAGTCGAATTGTTGTAGCCACTGTTATACTCCAAAATTTACCCTCTTCATGTTGGATTGTGTTTCATTATCACATACATATATGCATATCATTAACCCTGTTATCATGGAATCAAGGAATTTCTATAAGGCATTGACTGCCTATCAGAGGTGTTCAAAGCTTTATACAGGTAATCCAGTCAGTGAATGAGTGATTTCTTGCCATGCCTAATTCTCGTGTATTCTATCATGTCTTTAATGGTAGAGGGAAGCCAGAGGTTTCATATTGATTCAAGATAGTTCAAGTTGAAAGTCCGTTTCGACGCGACAGACTTCAGAATTTTATAACTCCAGGCCAGGGTATCATTGTGAGCTGATATTTGATTACTGGGTTCGTATTCCTATTATCTTCACCTTTCCGTGTTCGGGCCGAGAGCCAATTATATGCTAAAGACGGTCAAATAATTTCATTACTAAGTTTTCAGGTTACTGATCAACTGTATTTCTGGAGTTCAGAAATTTATAACTCTGATTTGGTATACTGTCTTGAGGTGGTTCTTTCGCCATTGAATCCGTCTCAATATCCTCTTCATTTCCGCATTCGGTCTGAAGTATAATTCTCGAAGAACGTCTCCGAATATGTGAATCAGTCAGAGTTAAACATTGGAGAATACAGATAAAAAACTGACGAAATCGTCGTCTCAGGCACACTGAAAAATTCATAACTCCCGGCTGGAGCACCGTATGAGCGCGATTCTAGTGTCCTAAATTCCGTCTTGATGTCGTTTTTTATGTCCAAGAGATGATTCTACAAGGAAAGTAGCGGGAATTTTGAGTATCTGAAGAGATATTTGAGATAAACCAGAATTCAGTCGAATTGATTTCTGATATTCAAAAATAAATACCGCACTCAATTTTTACCGTATCGCGACGAGTCTGGTGCCAAAATTTCAAAAATTAGGTTAGCTACATTTTCTCAGAAGATTCTAAGTTCGAACGATATCCAAAAGGCCTTCGTTTTTCGCCAAGAGTGTGCGTGACGTGCCGAAAATCCTGAATGTTGAATATTATTTCATCTGGGTCGAAACTTTAAAAATTCATAACTCGGTCAATTTTTATCGGACCGGGCCCATCTTTTTATACAAGGTCACTGACTCAGATATCTACAACTTTTCTTCCAAAGTCGAGACCGGATTCTATTGTGATCAATCCCAGTTTTTTATTGAAGAACGTGTCCGAGTTGACATTGGAGTCCAAAATAAGTTTGTCTGATGCGAAACTTCAAAAAATCATAACTAAATCACCATTCATCTAAATAAGCCTGTTTTTCGGCAACATGTCATAAATTTTATTATCTTCATTTTCTGTTTTGCGACCGAATCGAAATTTCGTATGATTGATGATGTGGCACTTTGTGGACATGTCGAGATTACATTGTCAAGGTAAAGTCCAACCCAATTGTGCATCCAAGACCCATTTCCACTCTCTATATAAATCAAAAACTCAGATTTTCTCTCATTACTACATAATCCTCACAAACACAAAATCTCACTCTCTCTATACTTCAATCCCCCCACTTCTCTTTAAAACTCTAAAAATCAAACTCTGTTATCTTCCCTCCAAAACCAAAACCCCAAACCACCACCACAACTCCCTCCTCGCTGGAACTCCTCAATCACCGGCCTAGCCACCGCCGCCCCCTTCCTCATCCGTGATTCCCTCCACTCTCAGCCTCCTCCTCTCTCGCGGCCTCCCTCCATGCGACGATATCCTCGCGGTCTCCCTCCCTCCACACGACGCGTTGTCTATCCGTACACCCTCCATCGTGCAGCTCTCCCTGCCCTACACCGTCCTCCTTCCGGTCAGCCATTCTATCACCGTCACTTCCTCCAACTTTTTCTTCCTCCAAGGTTTTAGGTATTTTCTTAAGCATTTATTTGATTTAGATTTTGTTTTGTTGTTAATTGTTAGATTATAATTGAATTTAGATTGAAATTCAGTTTAGGAATTAGTTTGTTTAACACTAATTTTTGATAGATTCTTGATTAAAAATTTAGGTTGAATTTCTCAGATTAGGAGTTTAGGTTGAGTTTGTATAAGGAATTCGATTAGGATTAAGAGTTGAATTAGCAATTAGTTGTGTCTTAGGTTGATTCAAGAATGTATTGATTGTGATTAGTAACATAAACTAACACTTAGGCTTAATCTAGTTTTAATTCATGAATTAATTGAATAGTTGATATCAAGAATGTTAGAGAATTGTGGAATTGGTTAACAATTCATAAAATTGTGTTGAATCTTCAAATTGCAAGTTGTTGTTGAAATAAATGTTGTTGACTTGATTTTATGAGTTGAAAATTGACTTTGGAAGTTACTTTAATTCTTGAAATCAATTAGTTTCAATTAATTATATGAGACCTATGTAAATTTAGTGTATAGAAATACATTTTGATTCTTGAACTTTGATTTTCACATGTTACAATTTGATTCTGATTCATCGCTTTTGATATAAATACACAAACTCATGAGTTGGAATTAAGTTGCAAATTGTTGATTCAATTCCAATACACTAAATTCATTTGGTTCATTAGCTTGTTAGCATGTTTTCTATACCATTTTTGATGGTGCACTCCCATTTATAATTTTCTAATAAACTATCATATGTTGATATTCAAGTTTAATGCATTAAAAGTTTGATTTCTAACTCAATTCATGGTGAATATCAATATGTCCATAGTGCTGTCCGGAAATTGTAATTATACCGGGACATGTAAATTGATTTCGGCTTATTGTTTTCTCACTTTTAGTGTCATTTTTTATGGACACCATTATCATTTTCGGTGGACTTTATTTTGACATTTTGAGCATTTAAAATATTGCAACAATGCTATCCGGAATTTAAACTTACATGTACATTGATTTTAGGCTTGTAAATAATGCACCAGTGTGTTTAATTGTGCATTTCTTTGATACCATTAGTAAGTTTTGGTTGATTTTAAACCGATTTCTATACCCTTTCATGGGCTATGATATTGCTTCCCCGAATATCAACTTTGACATTAAAGATTGATTTTACTTCAACAAATTGTTTATATGAACTTGTTAGCATGATTACTTGATACCGATATCAAGTACTGTTGATTTTGAATCAATTATTGGTGCATTTCCATTATGAAAAAGTTGATGTCCCGTAAAGCTATTTCACGCTTCCAACACGTTTTAATTCCTACTTTGCACAATGTTGAGTTAAAATGTACAAGTGATTGATATCAAAATTCATTTTTTTTCTTTCACTTTTGAGCTAATTTTTGACATACTTTCATGTGTTAAAAGTTGCTTCCCCGGAATGTTATACCATGCTCATGTCACTTGTGTATATTGCTTTGTACATAATCATGCTTCATTTAGATACATATTGCTAATACTCATTGTTATATTTAATTTGTGTTGTTATTTGCTAACCACTTTTGTGAGATGTGCATATTTTGGAAGCCAATTCGAATACTAATTGCTTGAGCATTATTTGGCGACAAATATGCTTATAGCTTGCATCCATTCTTCATTCTATTCTGACATTACTTGTTATTGATGCTAGCTTGCGATGCATTTTGAGTCCCTTACACTCGTTGAGCTTGCTATTACGGATTTTCTATTCGTTTGGTATATTTTTGGACCAATTTCTGTAATATTTAATTTACCGCTTTCTAGAAATTATGTAAAGTAGGAAATAAAGAGCGTGCGCTCAAAGTATCTGTTTAAAGTCCAGTAGCAGACACCTCTTTATTTATGCTAATTGTGATTGTTTAAAGTCCTGTCTTTAAATAGGAGATTATGCATGTGTGTTTACTTTCTTGTACAGTTTGATTATTCTCGATATGAGTTTGATCCTTTTTTTGATGTTTTGGTCTTGAATTCATTCTCGATATGAGTTTGTTCCAAGTGGATTCGGTTGGTTCATACTTGTATGAGTGTGTTCCTTTTACATTTACCCTTTACAATTTTGGCAAAGTTACAAAAAAACATATCAGATATTATGCGTCTGGTTCACCTTCCGTATGGAGTGTTCATTAGAGGCTTTGGTCTTGGTTCATTCTCGATATGAGTTTGTCCCATTTACATTTCACACTTTAAATTTTGTCAAAAGAATCATAAAAAAGAAGAAGATATATTCAAATATTATTCGCCTGGTTCACTTCTGTATGGAGTGTTCTTAAGAGGTTTTGGTTTTGGTTTGATTCTCGATGTGAATCTATTTCAAATAGATGCTGCCCGATTTATTTTCATATACGCTTATTCCAATATACATACCGCATTTAATTTTATCATTTATGTCGTGCTCCATTAGGACCTTTGGTTTACTCTCGATATGAGTTCATTCCAAATAGCAACTAGGATGGTTCACTCTCGGATGAGTTTGTTCCTAAAATACCTTAGGTTGGTTCAACCCTCGGATGAGTGTGTTCCAGATAGACACTAGGCTTGCTATCCATGTATGACAATATTAGGTAGAAATTTCCCTTCTTTGTCAATCTGAATCATAGGACCATGATTATAAGATAACATTAGGATTAGAAACTAGGATAGTCTCCCTTAGACTTTATTTTCTTCCCCTTTGCCATGTGCATTAAAACTAAAACTCCCTTTTCTTGAAAAATTCAAAAACACATTAAAAATACAAAAAATCATTTTCAAGGTAAAAAAACACCAACAAATTCAAACTCTTTTCTCGCCTCTTGGATTTTCAAACTTCAAAATGAATATTTTATTTTCCCCCTCTATGAAATACAATGCGTAATTTCCCAAAAGTCGGGTTGCACCATGTCTACTTGCTAGAGTCACGAATATAGCATCATTCGCCTCCAGGCTTTTTTTTTAGCATGTTAATTCCTTTCCACTCCAAATGTGTGAGTCTCCAAAGGTCGAGCTGCAGGTAGAATGTGAACTTATTATTGTTCCATTAAAAAATACAAAATAAACTAAAACATGTGAGCCAAACTACGATGCTCTGATTCCTCGAAAGGGATACATAGGCAAGAGATTGCGGAGCCTAATCGAGCACAAATTGTAAATACTTCTTTCTTTTCTTCACATTTCTTTTTTTCATGCATTCCTTTTTCATTGTCTCTTTTAATCATAGACATAGCTTAAACACATACATAAAAGTAGTAACCAAAAATGGATAGGATACCATGAAGTACCATGGGAGTGAGGGGTGCTAACACATTCCCCTTGTGTAACAGACTTCCTTACCCGATCTCTTGGTTGAAAGACCGTGACTTCACCCCCTTCAGGTTTTCTTGATGTTCACCTTTTCCTTCCTATGGGATAAAAAATGTTCGATGGCGGCTTCATTGATATATAACCAGTCGATGTTCGGCTAGTAGTTTCAGCCACCTTTACCCTTGTTGTCGAACTAATTTTCTTTGCCTTTCTTATCTTTTGTTGATTGAGCCTGCAAAGCCACATCACTCTTCGACTTTCCTGCAGCTCTTTCAGCCATTCTTTGTTCGTGAGATTCAAGCGTCTCTTGAAGTTCTTCCTTCGCCAAAGATGACATGTCCTTCGACTCTTCTATGACAACTACCACATAGTCGAACTTCGGAGCCAAAGATCTTAAGATCTTTGAAACAATAGCTCTTGTTGTTAACGTCTCTCCACAATTCTTAATTTGATTCACCCGTTTCTTAGCCCTAGTGAAGAAATCAGATATGCTTTCGCTATCTTTCATTTGAAGAAATTCATACATTCTTTTTTGAATTTGTAACCTCACATCTTTCACCATCTCAGTGCCTTCAAACAATTTCTTTAAAATCTACCAAGCTTCTTTTGCAGATTCAACATCACTAACCTTTTCGAAATTGTCTGGGCTGACACATTGGTGAATCATAAAGAGAGCTTTATAATTCTTCTTCTTCGATTCTCTATATGCAGCTTCTTCTTCCTCTTAAGCGTCTTCATCAAGTGATTTTAATCCATGTTTCACAAGATCCCAAAGACCTTGAAAATAAAATATAACCTTCATCCATTTGCACAAATTCTCATAGTTATCTCCTTTAAGAATTGAGAGACTTGCTGAAAAATTTCCATTAGCGTAATTCATCGCCATTGTGAATTTATTCTTCTTCTTCCTCGATCATTCTTGATCGTTCTTCCCTTGAATCACACAACCGGAGCTCTTGATACCAGATGTTAGAAATCCACCAAAACCTATGATGAATTTCTATCAATCTTAATGAACAAGATTGATATCACCCACAATAACTACGAAAAAATATGAAAGAAAAGAAGAAAGAGAAGACAATTATTTTTCTACAGAGTTTCTTTCTGCCTGCAAACTGCAGAAAACTTTATTCACTTGCAACTGCAAATTTTATGAATACAACTTAATTGACTTTATTACAAAAATAGGGATTACTCCATCTATTTATAGATTTAGGTTAGGTTGCTCCCTAAGCCAAAGTCCAAAACTATGAAAGCCTAAAATATATATTTTGGAACTGAATAAAATCTATCTATTTTAGACCTAAATTAAATCTTATCTATTCTAGATCTAAAACAAATTTGTGTGTAACAAACTGTTTCCACATTTCTAAATCAAATCAAATCTTTTCGACATTTCCTTGTCTCTATTGAGCCAACTGCTTCAACACAAAGAATTACTTTCAATAGACTCCACATGAGATAGTTGTAATATTGAAGTTTAATTGAGAGCTTTGGACCAAAGTGATGCCATGAAAATGAATCATAAATAACATTTTTTGCAATTGCTTGTGAATTTTGAGCTAAGCTTTCAACAATTGAATATGGATATGATTCGACCATGGCAGGAAGAGCAAAAAAGAAGATGAAGATACAATTCTTAGAGGTTATAAAGATTATAACCAAAAACAGTCACAATTAAAACAGAGTTAATTAGAGTGCGAAAGATATCAAATTAGGTAAATATGATACCATAATAAAATGTATGAACTTCATTTAGCATTGTGCATAATGAGTTGAATCTTACAATCCGTAACACTCTCATATTTATAGAGATTCATACATGAAATGGATGAAGTGCTCGTGTAGGGAATGATCATGTCTGCAAACATCCTTCTTCTAAACATATGCATGGTGATCCAACCTTATAGTCCTTGTAAAGTTGTTGTTTCGATGAATAATTGATATTGTTGCAAAAATATATTGTTTTGGTATGAGACCGGTGATCAAAGGAAAAACTGGAGGGTTCTGTGTTGGTATCAGTAACAGAGAAGATGTCGCGTGAAAACCTGTTGTGCTGAGGGCCATGGTTAGTGTGGTGGGGGCACGAGAAATTCGGCTGTGACGGACGTCACAAAGGGTGTATCGGGCGGCACAATTTCGTGGTGTAAGTGCTGAGCGGCATAACTTGTGTGCCGAGGGGCACATCGCGTGTCTGTTACTTTAGTTTTCCTGTTCCTGTGTCTGTTCTGCATATTTGTTATTTGTGATTTAGTAGTTAGTTACAGGAAGGTATGTAGCAGTTTTAGAGGAAAATGATTAACATCAGAGGTTATTTACTAGTAACAAAAGTGAATAATTGAGAGATTAGCATAAATATAGTAGGCAAGATTAATGAGTAATAGAGTTAGTAAATGTTAGCAGAAAGTTAATTTAGCAAAAATAACAGAAAAGTTGTTATAAATTAAAATAGCAGTAGAGATAATTTAAGTAGCGGAATGATAATGGCTTAATTAATTTAGCCGAAAACTATTAATGGGGCTTATGGCAGAATAATTTAATGGAAGTACCTTAGTAGGAACGTGTTAATAATATTATTGGCATGTGTACGTTGTTTGGTTGTTGTTATTAATTGTTGAAGTTGCAGGTGATGAATTTTGTTGTGTTTCCTCTATTGATTGGAAATTATTAAATTTTAGGCTTATGCCAATGCTGTTATGTTTTTGTTGTTGATGTTGCATATAATCATGTTGTCGCATACATCACATATCAAGTTGGAGCCGATGCTCGTTAAATTGGCCTGGATTGGCAAAATATTAAGTTGAAGACTTATGCCTTGTTGATGCCTCTATTAATTGGCAAGATTATTAAGTTGAAGGATTGTAGAATCAAACTATGTTCTAACACTGGTTACTATTGGTCAACAATGGAGATTGATTGCCATCAACACTCTAGGACTTATCACAAATGCCAAATCTATGCTGACAAGGTTCATGTGCCTCCTATCCCTCTGAATGTCATGACTGCTCCGTGGCCGTTTGCAATGTGGGGCATTGACATGATTGGAGAGATCAAGCCCACCGCTTCCAATGGACATCACTTAATTCTAGTTGCCATTGATTACTTCACCAAATGGGTCGAAGCCGCCTCTTTTTCCCCAGTCACCAAGAATGTGGTAGCCAGATTCATCAAACACAACCTTATATGCTGTTATGGTATCCCCGAAAGGATCATCATCGACAATGGGACTAAACTCCACAATGCTATGATTACCGAACTTTGTACTCAGTTCAAGATCAAGCATCACAATCCTTCTCCATATAGACCTAAAATGAATGGTGCAGTCGAAAGGGCCAACAAAAACATTAAGAAGATTGTGCATAAGATGGTAGTGACCTATAAGGACTGACATGAGATGTTTCTATTTGCTCTTCATGGCTACCGTACTTCAGCTAGGATGTCAACTAGGGCAACTCCCTTTTCCTTG